CCTCCCTTTCTGCTACCCTTGCTCCCGGGAAACCAGACCGGGAGTTTACCAGGCCCTATCAGCCCAGACGGGTTCAGGGGGGTGCGCTCCATTGGAATGGGGTAAGACCCGAACATGGTCCAAATCCCGGAAGCACCCTGAAGGCACGGCCCTGCCAGAGTGTTCCAGAAAAAAAAAGTGTGTACATCTCTTAAGGATGGAGCCCGCGTCTCATGGTTGGCGGGGACTGGGAGCTCTTGGAATGGAGTGGCACGGGGTGCATATGGCAGCTGCGGTTTCCTGTCGCCGTGACACGGGCCTTTGTCTGACGACGAGCATCCCGCCGAACGAGGGGGCTGGTTGGAGGTACGCCGGCATTGTGCGGGAGACAGCAACCTTTCAGCCCCGCTGGTCACTATAGAAACCCAGGGCAACCTTGGGGTTTTGGGAGGGGGGGCTTTGTTGGAGCTGAGAAGGTTGGTAGCTGTACACTTACATAAACAATTACGGCACGATCGCGTCCCCGCAAATGCATCGCATTCATTCCTGAGAGAGGGAGAGAGAGAGAGAGAGAGAAGAGACTGGAGTGTCGCCTTATTGTGGAAGTGAAGTGGCTGGGTAGGCGTGTGTGAGCGTGTGTGAGCGTGTGTGAGGAGCTGCAGAAGGACACACAGGGCAGAGAGCGCCGTGAATGCGGGGCATTTTGGCTCTGTTTGACTGCAGAACCGCCCTCCTGCATCACTGCGGGGAACGCGGACGACTCCAGCTCAAAGAAATTCATTGTAATCCCGGCCACTTTATTATTATTATTATTATTATTATTATATCAGTGCTGAGGATGCAATTTTTAGTTCATTGGCTGTACTGTGTGGTCAGATTTGTGAGAGCAAGGGCTGGAAGGGGTGAGGGGCTGAATGTTCAGCTGTCTGCTGCGGAGAGGAGCAATCTAAGATCCATCAGATGGGCAAGAGGCACTTTCAGCCACATTCGAGGCTCTGGGCTGGAGGAAAGGGGGTGCTACAACCATGACCACGTTGGAGATCTGGAATGATCTGGGGAGAGGACCTCACTGAAACCCCGCCTAAACACCCCTTCTGGGGGTGCAGGGAGCCAAACCTGTCGGAAACGCGGATGAATATTTTCGTTTATGCTCTCACTTTGCCATAACATCGTACCGCATCTTGTTTCACAGTCCCTCGTTCCGTCACCCCTCTCAGGACGCGCCAATCTGGGTCACCACAGCAGCATTGCCAGGACAGCCCTCTCGCTGCTGGTTCTGTGGTTCCAGACGGATTCCCTCTGCACTAGGGGTACGCCCCGGTCATTCCTACAAGGCTTCTCTGTGAGCTTGTCTTCCGCAACCATCCCTGTGACGCAGGGAGCTGCTCCCAGCCCCCGCTGCGCGAATGCAACGCCCCCTCCCCCCCCCCACTTCCAGCGGATGCCCCCAGCAGCTGCCCTCGGCTCCGTTGTCGGCCCGGGGCACTTCGACATCCGTCTCTCCACCTCCCTTCTTCCTACCTCCCCTGACTTCTGCTCATTCTCGGATGCAGTGCTGTCCCTCAGATGGCTGTCCAGGAAGTGTTCTCTCCATGACCTCTGACCTCTGCTAGCCATGTCCTGAACAAACAGCTAATTGGCTGGGTTTCCTGTTTGGCCTGATGGGACTGTTGCCTATTTTGGTCTGTTTACAGTGCTCTGTCTTGGAGTAGCGCCCTCCACATTGTTTAGAGCTGCCCCCCTCCCAGAGAACAATGCACCCCCCCACCGCAGTGTTCTTCCAAACATACTCTTGAGGTGACTAATGGGATACATGCTCTGCTTTTCATACTTTCCCCCAGCTATTTATGGCTGTTCCCACAGAAATAGGGATACAGGCCCCTCTTCCCTGTAGCCACGGCTGGCTTTCGTTCGAGAAATGCTGCATGCATGACGTAGTGGAACTCCCGCCCTCTCATTAAAGGCTGAGATCCACTGGATCCCCGTATGCTCTTTTGGCCTGGTGCATCTCAATAACCCTGAGGTCACACGCCCCCTGCTGGAGGACGTGCATACGTGTGTTTGCATGCACTCAGACTGCACTCAGACTTTCAGGCAATCTTACCAGGCTTCTTCTTGCTCTGGATGGGCAACCCTACCGAGAAACAAAAAAGGTCCTATCTCTGTCTGAACTACCTGTGTTGAATTAACTGGCTTGTCCTGTTGCCAGACGTGGACCTTTTGCTGCTCCCCTCTGCACTGAATTATGCAGATGCTGCCGGATCATCTTCATCCAGAACCAGCTTCCGGTTCTGCAGGAGGCAGCAGACCAGGCCAAAGCATGAGACTTCAGGACTAAAGCTGCCAGGGTCAAATCCAGGTGGCACCTAATCCCATGCAGGACATGCAAAATGTCTTGCATATGAGTGAAATTAGCTTTTTTTTTAATTACTTTACACCCTCTCAGTCATCTCATGAAATGTTTGTGAATCGGAGCTGGCGGTGACTGTACATCTCGGGGGAGCTCAGCTGCTGATTCCCAAGGCGCCTCACAGCTAGATCCCCCATCAAAGACATGCTCCGTGGCTGAGTTTCCAGATCGCCAATTAAAAGCACACTTCCTGTAACTAACAGCCAGTTACAATCCCCTGGGGACAGAGCAGGAGAGGGCACGGCGAGGCAGGGGGCAGCACTAATGACAGGGGCCTGTTGCCGGCGTCTCGCGCCCCACCAGGATCAGAGGAGCTAGGATAGACTGGTGAGAGTAAGCAAGGAAGGGAAGGGGCCTCTTGAAATGTAAGTGGAGAGCTAACCATTGTAGGAATGGGCAGGGTGAGGGATGGGGCAGTGGGAGGGGAATAAGGATAAGGGG